GACCCAAAGAGTGTGAGTTCAATACATGGTTAAGGCAGTGGAGAACTTTCAGAGAGGAATTAACAGGAGATAACTGATAACTGCCATCCATTAAACATGACACGTGGAACTAGAACAGTCTACCCCAGTGAGCAAAATAAAGGGTTCAGTTCAACATTCCAACCACCTGAAGAAGGCTGGAGCGTACAACGGCCGAAACGTTGTAATAAATATGGCGACAAAGATAAGGACAATAGTTCGAATAATGTAAATAATGGCCACAAGGAGGATTTTATAAATAAGCCCCCCAATATCGACTGCTTAGTCCATCCAAAAAAAAAAAATAAAATAAATAAATAAAAAATAAAATCCCATCGGTATTATCAGCAAAACTATTATGGAAAGAGCGTACATGTATACTAAAAATGCTTTAGGTATCAACCAGTGACTGAATACAGCCGAAGATATTGAATGATTTAGTAATATATATAAAAAAAAAAGAAAAATGCACATTTTTTACAGTTTCACTTCTACCCATCCATTACGGAAGATCTTCTGATGGCAGCTATTAATTTAGGAAAAAAAAACTACTGCCATATTGCCGACGAAAATATAAGAAAGGCACAGAAGCCGATTTTATACCACGACGGAACTCTTTGGACAAAAAGAAATAACCCAGATTTTTGTGTATCCATCAGAACACATAATTCTGCGGAAGCATGTGAAATCTGATAAGACTGGTAACCATTACTGCATCGACGCAGAATTCTTCGGCAATGCCATCAATACAGAAGTATGTAAATTCTATAAAAAGCGACTGACAATTGGGAAAAAAGCTATTCACCATGACTCCAAAGGAATAGCGACTGAACTAGAAATAGATGATAAAATCTCCAAAACTGCACAAACAAAATGCATTTGTCACGATTAAATACCACAATTAGAATTTCCTAAATAACCCCCAATACCGACTGCTTAATCCGCTCCCAAAAAAAACGTCAGTGTTAACAGTAAAACTATTATGGTAATTTGCCGACGCACGCATAGTCTCTCTCAGCTATAAATAGGAGCAGGTACTGCCTTTTGGAGAGGGACTTTTCCAGCAGTCAGTTCTGACAGTCGGACCGAACATTCTTGCTGAAACACTCTCGTTTGTATATGTTTGTATTACTGTTTCTGTTAATATATTTGTTTAACACAATTCCTCTCTTTGTGTCTTTATTTCTGGCCCTAACATGTCAACAACAAAAGCCATTACGGAAAGATCGTGTAAGTATACTAAAAATGCTTTAGGTATCAACCAGTGGCGAAATACAGTCGAATCTATTGAATGATTCAGTAATATAAGTAAGAGAGAAGAATGCACATTCTTGCAGTTTGATATCTGTGACTTTTACCCATTCAGAAGAACTACTGATGACCGCTATTATTTTAGCAAAGAGCTACTGCCATATTTCTGATCAAATAGTAAAAATAATAAGAGAGGCACAGAAATCGATACTATTTCACGACGGAAGTCTATGGATTAAAAGAAATAACCCAGACTTTTGCATATCCATGGGAGCACATGATTCTGAGGAAGTAGGCAAATTGTATAGGTATACTGTTGCTATGGGGATACAGATTTATCTCTGACATAAAAAAACAAAACTACAACGGAATATACTGAGACGACGGGGTAATTCTCTTTTGCAAATTGAGACCAAAACAAGCGGACCAGATGTGAAAGGACCTAACTAAATTTTTAAGGACCATAAAATGAATATTACCACCTATACTAACGCTAAACTGATCAATTTCCTAGCATTTACATTAGACCTAAGTAAAGGCCTATAGAAATCACACACTAAGGAATCATATAACCACAGGTATATCTACAGATAATCCAACCACCATAAAAAGACCTTGACAACTTAAACCAATCAGTACAATTTAGGTCCCTTAAGGACACATATCACAGTCGCTAAAGGCATTAGTTAGATCCTAGTGACACGACCAAAGAGTGTGAGTTCAATGCCCGGTTAAGGCAGTGGAGAACTTTCAGAGGGAAATTAACAGGAGATAACTGATAACTGACATCCATTATACATGGAACTTGGAACTAGAAGAGTCTACCACAGTGAGCGAAATAAAGGGTTTAGTTCGACATTCCAACCACCTGAAGAAGGCCGGAGCGCACAACGGCCGAAACGTTGTGATCAATATGGCGACGAAGATGAGGCCAATAGTCCGAATAATGTAAATAATGTATATAATACCTCATCTCAGAAATATAGACAGATACTGAAAGGCTGAAACGTTGTAATAAATATGGCAACAAAGATGAGGACAATAGTCCGAATAATGTAAATAGTGTATATAATACCTCATCTCAGAAATATAGACAGATACTGAAAGGCCGAAACGTTGTAATAAATATGGCCACAAAGATGAGGACAATAGTCCGAATAATGTAAATAGTGTATATAATACATCATCTCAGAAATATAAGCAGATACTGAAAGGCCGAAACGTTCTGATAAATATAGTAACAAAGATGAGGACAATAGTCCGAATAATGTAAATAGTGTATATAATACCTCATCTCAGAAATATAGACAGATACTGAAGGGCAGAAACGTTGTAATAAATATGGTGACAAAGATGAGGATAATAGTCCGAATAATGTAAATAGTGTACATAATACCTCATCTCAGAAATATAGACAGATACTGAAAGGTCGAAACGTAATAAATATGGTGACAAAGATAAGGACAATAGTCCGAATAATGTAAATAATGTACATAATACCTCATCTCAGAAATATAGACAGATACAATTTAGGTCATCGGCCAAATCCAGTAGCAAAGAAATATTTGACGATAATAAAACTAAATATACTAAAGGTCTAGAAAAAAGCATCCATAAAGTGAAATTAGTGTAGAAAGAAGCAACAATAAAGCTAAAGGTATGCCAAAATAACTCAAACGTAATATCAAATTGTTCAACTCACCTTACAATAGTAATGTCCAAACTAATGTAGTTAGAATTTTTTTAGATTTAATTCACAAACACTTTAGTCAGTTTCAAAACAGAAAAGTAGGTTTATTGTTCCCCTGAGTTTTCCAGTTAAATACAATAACTGCGTGAAAATTTGGAGTAATACGTTAAATCCCGTATAGTCTTTTTTTAAAATAATAATTATATTTTTAATAATTATTAGGTAATAATAAGTATATTTTTTCCGGCCCAAAAACGAATGAAAATCTCAAAAAACCACTTAAAGTAAATATATCCTCATGGAATGTATGTAAAGAAATTATTTTACGATATCAATCGATATATGCTTTCATTTTTTTAGAATTAAAGAGAAATTTCTTCCATAAAATTTACTTGGAATACAAAATTAATAATTAATACTAAAGACAGAAAAAGAAGCTTTATTGTTCCGCTGGGCTTCGTAGTTTAACACACTGTGTGAATATTTGAGGAAATACTTTAAAACATGTGTAGTCTTTTTCGAAATAATAAGCATGTCTTTTTTGTTTCATCCTCCTATTTATTTCAAAATACATAACGACAGAAAACGACATCTATTTATTTCTTTGCCCTCAAGTTATATGACACATATAGCCTCTTCACCTTTCAGTATTTCTTTATAAAAACATTATGATGTAATGTGGTAAATTGTATAAATTGTTATTCATAGTTCCATTTATTTAATAATAATTTATTTAATAATATAGTTATCATGTATTATGAATTTTTATTTTTCACATACATAATATCTGGTATATAATATGTAAGTTTTTGTTTATATACGTGAATTGATATGAAAATGTCTATCGAAAACAAAGACTGAATTTCCTATTAAAAATGTCGTAAAAACTTAAGACTCCCATGTGTAATTTTAATGGAATTTGTTGCTAAACTCAGCAGGGGTTCAAATTACAATTTTCTTTCTTAAATGGTTGGGGCATTATGTATTCATTAAGTTGTATCTCAAGAAGACTTATAGATACGAGGGTCGTCCAAAAAGGTCTAAGCCTCTCCCAAAAGAAGAGCCATAGCTGAAATTTTTTTGTGGCAAAACACTACCAAATCTTATAAAACTAGAAAATCTCATTCAGATTTCTATCTTAATTTCTCAGGCCCAAACAAAGGTGAGAGGTGAGCAACACATTAAAAAATGGACAAAACAGAGGCCCGAGCAGTATCTTCAAAAGGAATCTATAAAGACATAGTATGTATATATATATATATAAAGAAAGAACAGTAAGATATATAATCCGGTGTTCTTGTTGATATTTTTTTATTTTTACAAAATAGTGCTCAATGTAAATTTACAGAGCAGAAATATTATAAATTAACTGATTTAAAATATGGTTTCTTTGCTACACAGTAATAACCATGTTTCAAAAACTGAAGCTAGAACCTTTAAATTTAATTGGTATAGCGTCTTGCTGAGAACTTCCCTTCCTATGCAGCTGTGAAGAAGTTGGCTGCTAATTCAAGCAGGGCAGGGACAGAACTGATGACCCTCGGTCTGGTAGTCCCAAAACCTCTACCAGTAATGAACAGGTTGATACCATTCTTCGTACGGTTTTGGATGACGGACGTCTTACTTTCCAGCTAAGTCCATGGGCATTAATTACGGTTCGGTTGATACTGTTTTAACTGAGATCTTGGGGATGAGCAAGCTGTTTGCAAGATGAGTCCCAAGGATGTTGATACCAGAGCAGAAACTGAAAAGGATTAACATTTCAAGGACACGACTTGCTTCCAGTCTGAACCTGAGTATTTCCATTGCAGATTTGTAAGTCACGATGAAAGCTAGATTCACCAATTCGAACCTGAATCAAAGGTTCAAAGCAAAGCGTAGAAACATTTTGGTTCTCCACTCACGAAGAATTTCAAGAAGCAGCATCTTTTGGCAAAGTGATGGCTTCTGTTTTTGGAAATTCTGATCGCGTAATCATTTTGTTTCGGTTTGTTTTGTTTTACGGCATATCAACCTTAATGGTTTATTTAATGCTAACAAGATTTTTATTGCTGGTAATATTTTTTATCTATCTATCTATCTATCTATCTATCTATCTATCTATCGATCTATTCAGTATATATTCGTTTGTTTTTCTTTGTTTTACAGCATATCAAACTCAATGGTTTATTTAATGCCAACAACATTTTTATTGCTAGTAATATTATTTCTTCTAATGATTTGGATCGTGATTACAATTCCAATGTAATAAATTATAACCAGGGAATATTAATATTTGAGCCTTTATTATATTCTGTCCTGGACATTGAGTTCTACCTGGATTCTATCCTCTTGGGAATTTATATCTATCTATCTATCTATCTATATATATATATATATTGACCACTAATATTATCTATCTCTCTATATATACATGTATTGCTGATAATATATTTTTACAAAATCTGTATTGCTGCTAATGTAGTGTTGGTAATAATTTTTACGAAAATGTATTGCTGGTATTAAGACCTATTTTTACACTTTCATAATGTATGACCCTAGTTAGTGGGCCAACTATGTGCCCATACATGGTACTCCAACAGGAACTATCACCCCGGGTGAACCTTGGAACACCAGCAATCAAGAGGCGGTTCCATGTTCCTCAAAACCTTCCAATCAGAGGCCCTGCCTCCGGATGTAGTTTATAGTCATACTAAAGACGCCTCATTGGTGTTGTCTTACCCCTCTGCAGAGGTGCTGTTGGCATATTCCGAAGCCCAACCGAGAGGGTGTTCGCGTAATTCTAACAGATTAACGGACTGTACATTGCATTATAATTAAGACGACATAATTATAAGATGCAATCAAATCGAAACGCAGAGGGAAGCTGAGGGCGTGTGTGCTCTTGCTTAAGGATAACGTGTTTGTGCTAACTACTCAGAGATCATATATGCTGTGGAAATTTTCTTGGCGGGCCATGATGCCATTTTCTTCTGTGATGGGATTGCAATACTTAAGCATCGTTGGAGCAAGTAAATTGAAACCGGGGTGGGTCTGTATTTAAACGTAATGAAAAACTGTCTTGTTTCTTCAAATCCTTTTTGGTGAGGTTGAGAACATTTTGAATGACTTCGTACATACAAGATTAGCGTTTTAGTATTACATAGATATTTTAAAAAATAATTTTCGCTTTTTGGAGAAGTCATGTATATTTCTTAAAAGCTTATACAATGAATAACATTATGTTTCTGAAGTTTATATAGAGAACTTTTCCAGGTTCTTTTGCGTGTCGTGGGTTCAGTGAAGAGACAAGCATTCACATAGAGACGATCAGTAGCTCGCCGATCTGTTGACCTCCGTTCTCTCTCTCTCTCTCTCTCTCTCTCTCTCTCTCTCTCTCTCTCTCGGTTCCTCCAAGAAATGATGCTTACCATGTGATCCCTTAGAAATCTAAGCGTTTAAAGAAATATCTAATGAACATTTTCTGTCGTCGGTTGAGTCTTTTGGTGCAGTATTGAGTTCCCGATTGAGGAACTCTTGATGGGCCATGAGAATGCAGCTTACAATGCGCAACACATATCTTCTTCGGCCATCTTGGAATTTATTTTTTTACTAATTTTTAATCGTGAATGATGATGTCCACCATTTTAAAACAGATTGAGATATGGAAATCATTTTACCTGGCAAAGCCATTTGGGTCTCTATTCCCTGATAGCTATAATCTCCAACTATGCAATGCCAATCGACATCTCCAGATACCTTGATCTATTCCCCGCCCTTCTCTTCATCTTTTCCACTTTCATACCTCTTTACTGTATGTGTAACATCTTAGTAATTCATTGTGTTTTAATGTTTTTTAAGCGTTTCACCCCAAGCAAGGCGGAAAGCCACTAGCACGCAAGGGGTTACAGATAATTGGAGTGAGAGCAAATAGGAGTGATAGAGAAAAGGATGAAGAGAAAGATAGGGGATTAATCAGGGCATCTGGAGACGTCGATTGACATTATATTTGAATAGTAGGAGATTATAGCTATCAGAGGAACAAGAAAAGGGGAGGGAGTTCCACAGATGAGAGGTGCGAGACATGAAGCTATCGGAGTAGAAGAGACGGTTACATTTAACAGTTTCGACAGTGAAAGGGTGTGAGCGAGATGCCAGCCTAGTAGAACGCTTAAATTCATGACGTCTGGGAACCAGCGAAAGCAGCTCCTCGGGGCAGTTACCATGAAAGTATTTGTAAAAAAGACAGAGAGAGGCGACGGCGCATCTGTGAGAGAGCGACTGCAGACGAGATGACAGATCAGGGCCAATTACATTGCATGTCCGTCTCTGGATCTTATCAAGAACCTTGAGACAAACATAATGGGCACCAGACCATATATGGCAGCAATACCCCATGCAAGGGCGAATGGCCGATTTGTTGATTTGAAGGATCAACTCCGGCGAGAAAAATTTACTGTATTTATCACCGTTTTCATGAGTACTTTAGTATATTTGTCATAGGTTTGCAAACCGAGTCTAAAAATGTGTGTAAAACACAACTTGCCAACTTCACACCCGCCCTGGGTATGACGTTAAACTTCATCCGCGTCCTGGGTGAGATTGTAAACTACATCCGACAGCAAGGTCTTTGATCAGAAGATTTTGAGAAGCGTGAAATCACCTTTTAATTACCAGTGTTCCCAGGTCCACCCTGACCCGGGGTGGTAGCACCTGTCAGGGTCACAGCTATGGACAAATAGTTACCCCCAATCCCCCAAAAAGGGGTCACTATACTATGAAACTATAAAAATAGTTTTTAATACCAGCAATATTTAGGGGGAAAATTTTTTACCAGCAATACATTTTTGAAAAAAAAAAAAAATCTTACGCGCAATACATTTTTGAATTTTTTTTTACTAGAAATACATTTAAAAAAAAAATTACCAGCAATACATTTTTGAAAAAAAAATATTTCAACACCAATAAATTTTTGAAAAAAAATTTTTACCAGCAATACACTTTTGAAAAAAAATATTACTAGCAATACATTTTTGAAAAAAATTACCAGCAATACTTTTTTGGAAAAAATATTACCAACAGTAAAAATCTAGTCGGAACTAAATAACCCATTGAGGTTGATATGCCATAAAAGAAAATAAACCAAACCAAAAAACTTCACATTTGTATCTTTTCTGCTTTCTATAGAAGGCCTGAAGTTAAGAATGGTTAATTTCACATATTCATGGGTAATTTCGTAATTATTTTGTGGATGAAATTTACAACGAATATATTTATTTTAATTTTTGTTTGAATTTCTGGGACGAGTCGTTATCGTTATTTGCTCTATTTAAATTCGGACTATTGTCCTCATATTTGTTGTTATTATTCAATCATGTCAGCCGTTGTCTCCCTCCGACAAGCATCAGATGTGTCAATCCAATTAACCTACGGGGAATTGCCAAATGAAGCCTTTATTTAATTTATGGAGGCAGAAAGTTCGCGTTTCTCGTTCCAATGGCTCCGTTCTAATTTTGAAACTGTTCCATTTTTTTCAATAACAGAGTAAGACTAAACTATGAACGAGACAACTTATCCCCAAACTATGCAAAAGGAACGAGAACAGTCAATCCTTGTAGATTAAATTAAGTGTAAATAGCGTAAATAGTGTCAACATTTATTTTAGTTCGTATGTCCAGAGACGGATATGCAATGTGGTTATTCGTCTTGTGAAAAATTTTCCTAAATAATATTTAAAAATAAAATTAAAAATTGCGACCAGGTAATATACATAATTATATTTAATGTGAAAAAATAATTTTATATACTGTAAGTAATTCTATTACATTTACTTGTTTTATAAATTAAAAAAATATAGTCTATTAAAATTAACAGTGATAATATTTTAAAGTTATATTTAAAATGGTTGTTAAATAAAACGAATTCTAACCTAAACATCTTTTAAAATTATAGTTAAATAAAACGTATTCTAACCTAATCACCTCTCTCAAAATACTACAGGCACTTAAATGAATCCAATAAAACACCTACAGTAAAATGAAATTAAGATGAAAAGCTAGAATATGTAGGTCATTAAATGACCCATGTCCTTTGTACATATAAGAGAAACTATATATTACTAAGTTTATAAAAAATAAAAGTTTACTAAATCAAAGAAATGAACTAGCTATTTTTGCCGTAATTGACATAAATTTTACTTAAATAATATTTAAATATAAAAATTTTTTAAATTGTGACCTGGTAATATACATACTTATACTTGATATGGAAAAATAATTTTACTTATTGTAAGTAATTCATATACATCTACTTATTTTAAAAAGAAATATAGTCTATTAAAATTAAAAGTGAAAATATTTTAAAGTTGTATTTAAAATTGTAGCTAAATAAAGCGAATTCTAACCTAAACATCTTCCAAAATTGAAGTTAAATAAAACATATTCTAACCTAAACACCTCTCTCAAAGTAATACAAGCACTTAAACGAATCCAATAAAACAGCTACAGTAAAATGAAATTAATATGAAAAGCTAGAAGATGTAAGCCATTGAATGACCCATGTCTTTTGTACTTACATGAGAAACTATATATTACTAGATTTATATAAAAAATAAAAGTTTACTAAATCAGAGAAATGAATTATCTATTTTTGCCGTCATTGTCATAAATTTTACTTAAATAATATTTAAATATAAATTTAAAAAAAAATTGTGACCTGATAATATACTTGTGAAAATAATTTTACATACTGTAAGTAATTCTGATATATTTAATTGTTTTAAAAAGAAATATAGTATATTAAAAATTAAAAGTGAAAGTATTTTTAAATTGTTGTTAAATAAAACGTATTCTAACCTAAACACCGACCAAAAATATTTAAGTATACAAATAGAAAAAATGCCGTAAGAATAATTCAAAATAAAAAAAATCCAGACGACAAACATTTAACAGATGTCAGAATTTATTGAAAAATACATCCCTACCCCTACCAAAACGTAACTAATAACCGATACATCAAAATACAGCGATAATGAACACGCAACCACCCCTTGTCTGGGTGAATGGATTTCTCTGTATCCTTGGAAACGTGAATTATGATTTTTTGCAGTGCCTTTAAAACCCAGTAATTTTAAAAAT